CAAAGTTCAACTTGGAAGTTATACAAAACTCCTGTCCTTATTCATTATTACACCTCACTTCAACAGGATTTTATTTCCAGATGCGTGGTAAAATCATAAAAATTTTCGGAACCACTTGATAAAAAAAAATAATATACCCCCCTTTAAAAGGAATATATTTCCACTGTATCAGTTGTTTCAATGTAGTTCTCATTATTGAGGTACATCCAGACTTTTCCGATAATTAGCACATTGAGCTGATTTTCATTCAAAATCTATTACGCGAAAATATTTTAAAATGTGAATGTGTAAGTGATCATGAAGTTGATTTAGAATGTCTGTAAATAATATTAAGGATAATTGCATTTACCAACTCCACGACTAGGAAAATTTGTCCTCCATTTCGAAATTAAAATAAAGTGCTTCCTCGTCCATTAGTTATGGGTAAAATTTCTAATTATTTAAGTGAAATTCCCATATCTATTTGATGTGGAAGCTCATTTCTTAATGAAATTATTATTTCGCATCCATTTTCCTAAGAAGTGAACCAGATTCCTGGCAAGAATCCATGTAGCTGAAATATTTATTCAAGTTCGCGTGGTTTCCTTAAATGGGATATAAATTTTCGACATGTTTTGAATGACTAGATTTATGTCATTGAAAGTTCTAAATGGAACGATTTCGAAATTATATGGATTCGAATTTTTTAGATCTAGCTTTACGTGTACAGAAGAATATTTCGCGGTTGTGTAAACATATATTGTTATTACAAGTATGCATTTATCACTTAAGATTCAACACATCAACATTCTCACCAAAGTCCTTGGTTTAGATTGAGGAAATAAAATTTTTGAGAGAAGGCAGTGCATAGGGCATCTGTTCATTGCAATTTAGCAAACGGCCATTGTTCCATCTGGTTCATTTTGATTGATCGTGTTTCCAACGATTTAAGCAAGGATTGGCCTTTTGTCAATTTTCGCTTTATAAATTTATTTATAGCAAATGGCAACCTTTATGATAGCCGTCAGTAGACCATTAGTTGATTTCGGGCTTCACAGGGTGGAGGAACATCAGAGTCATGAGAAGTGGAGAGGGAGAAGAGAAGAGCGTTTCACAGCTGCATAATAGACATACACAAATGTAGAGGACAAGGCAAGGTGAGCACCATGGAAGTGGGAATTCAACTTCCGGTTTATACACTTATTGGCGTATAAGTATACGTTACCCAGGGTGCACAACGTAGAGGTAAGTCTATGACGCATTTTTAAATACCTCAGTGTCTTTAGTATTGCAAAAAATAGTTCCCAAATTTGCAAATGCAATGAAACATCAGCATACTTCAGTTCTGACATGAATATGCAACAACTGTCGAACCCAAATTCCTTCTCAAAGTTTTCTTAAATTCTTCAGTGTTATAATAATATATTCCAACATTATGTGACAGGTTTGCACAAGTCATGGAAATTTTTCACGCAGACTACAGTGTTGAATGTGAATTCAATTCTATTTAAGCAGTGAACTTTCTTATCAATTTTCTTATATGTCCTCATACGGGGTGTGCGATAGACTTACCTCCACGTGGTGCACCCTGGGCAACGTATACGCATACGGCAAAAAGTCTATTAACCGGCAGTTGACTTCTGACTTCAAAATACCATGGCCCGACTGCTTGTCATATTCAACCCCTTCAGCAGTACTCATCTTACCTTTTTCCCTACCTTTGTGTCTGGTTCCTCTTTTACATCTGAATCGCTCTTCTGTTCCCCACCCCTCGACTTTCTGCTACTTTGATAAACCTTCCCTCTGTGAAGCCCGAAGTCAGCTAAATGGATAATGATAGCTATCAAAATGCCTGCCATTTGAAATAAATAAATAAATAAATATGTCCTCATACGATGACTATACTCCGTTTCGTATACATTTCCTAATACTTCTCAAATCCACTGAAGGAAATACTTATCTTGAGTCCTGAATCCCCCCCCCCGCCTCCCCGGGAGGAGAATCTCCTATTTTTCTATTCAGGCTAACTCTCAAATGAGATCATATTTTTTTAAATTATGGATTCTGCTGGGAACGAAAAATTCAATTGAGCATTACCTCGCATTGGATAATTGATAATTAGTTTATGCTTATTTCTTTCACTGATTTTTTCACTTGTCAGGTAATTAATTTAGTCTGGAAAAAAATAGGTAAGTGCAGTTATTCGGGGGTATTATTGTTTAAAAAACTCCAAGTTACCATGGTACATACCACGTCAATATTGTTTGCTATTCTCATAAACGGAAGTTTTTTCAGACTGCCCATCAGGACGAGATTGCAATGTCTTGGAAACTCCCCTACGTTGAAGCCTTCTCTTCCTATTGAGAACTATTAGATGACTGTTTGATGTTGCTTATGTCTAAACAACTTCCAAAATAAAATGAGTCAACACCCCATCTTAGCAGCCATGAAATTAATACTTGAATATCAATCAAAATGATTTGTGTAGCCGTCTCTCTGGCCTATCTCAAATCATTGATCCTTTGTTCGAAGCATGGGTCATTGTGAATACTTTTGGGAAAATGTATTACATTCTAATATTGGCTGATGATTTGAAAATAAATACTGCTTGCTGAGTTTGATTAACACCGAGGCCTAAACTGTGACCAAAGAGACCTTAAAGGCAGTCTACACGGAATTTCAATGCTTGCTGTTATGTATTAGCAATTGATCATGATAAGTATCACTCAAAGAAGCAATTTTTGTTCACAAAGTGAGGTGATATCTCCACCACCTCCGAAGTGTTCCAGCACTAAGCAAAACTTATTCGTGGTAGGGTTGACGTTTTCGCAACTTCTCGTCTGGAGAAATATCACAGAACATACAGTAATCAAAGCCTGTCGTCTCCTTTTTCAATTAGCCCTTTATTGTCTTCTCACTTATTTATGACTTTTGATGGTTGAAATTGTGATATCTATTCCTATAAGTGAGCCTATTGACCAATACTAGCAAATGCTTATTTATTTCAAATGGCGAACGTTCTGAGAGTTATCATAAGCCCTTTAACTGACTGCAGGCTTCACAGAGGTGAAGGAACATCAAAGTGGTAAAATAGTCAATCGGGAGAACAGAAGAGTGATTCACAGATGTAAAAGTGACAAACACAAAGGCAGAGAAAAGGTTAGGTGAAACTGTGGAAATGGTCGAAAATGACATGGTTTCTGGTCATGATAGTGTGAAGTCAGAAGTCAACTGCCTGATTATAGACTTTTTTGCCGCATGAGTATACGTTGCCCAGGGTGCACCACATGGGGGTAAGTCTATCGCACACCCCCTACTAGCAAATATAGATGACCTCAATTTCTTTAAGAAAAGGAAATTATTGTTAACTTGCAGTATTGGCACCATTGGGAAAGTTCATTGTGCGCTTTCAAATCTACCCATTATGTCAAAAAGGCTAAAACGTGTCATGATTCGAATGTCAGCTGTTAAAAGATGTCTATGCTTGATCTTAATATTCTTATCAATTTTATAAGCCTTATAATGTGATGAATACTTATTTTCCATTACAATAACAGTTTGTTTTGCTCTATCACTTAAGCCCTAATTAACATCTACTCGCATAATCGTTTTATGAACTTCCTTTGCATGCTCCCTGGAAGCTACTCAAAGAAACCGACTTTGAAGTTACTGATGTTAGTAGAGTGGCCATTAGTATGGAGTTTACTGACACTATGAGGCCTAAAATACGCTCCCGGAATAGGTATTAAATTACTTGGAGCAAATTGACCAATCACTACGTCCATTTTTTTGCAATCTTATCATTAATGACAGTCAGTGAATATATTTGGTTACTAACAGTGAGCACTGTCTGAGCACCTCATCATGTATGCATTATTAGCACGATGTGGGGTGTAGATAGTCCACACCAAATGAGTAAATTAATTTTCTTAACAAAAAGACACGGGTCTTGAGCGGGAAGTCTTCCACCTGGTGTTGCGGAATTTATAACGGTTTAACTGATAGTTGTACCAAAGCTCCCTTATTTTTTTCGAATGGAAAGTGTCCTAAAGAAAGGAACAAAGCTCAAAGCATATTCGTTTTAAAAGTTGACTCGCGTATTTTACCCGATGATGATTGTCAGTTTACACCAGAAAACTATCGAGAATTTCAGTGCCTCATCCGAATATCGCCTATCTTTTACCATTGTTGTTTAAATATTGGCACTAAATTTTTCATTTTCCTTTACTTCTCTAAACACCAGGACTCAGTCCATTTCCAGGGTGCCCTCCGTCCTACTATAATTGACGTTGTGAACATATGTAGGAAACCCCGAGTCCTTATTATGGCATTTATTAATACCAGTACCACTACTGGGGGGGGGGGGGGTGATTAATTTCTTATTTGCAACCAGGACCTAAGATGGACCCCCCCCCAGTTACCCCAGTTGTCCACTTGAAATTAAACGTTATCAATATCCCGATAAATAGTGTTGTGTTTACAGTGTGAAGGCGGATATGCCTTACAGCCTAGAGATCTACCTTTAAAAAGGCATTTCAAACTTTGCAGGTGGTGTTCAAGTTGCCAAGATTCCTCCTCCGTACGTTGTTGAAGGCAGTAGGTCCCGTGATAAGTTGGCCTACAACTACCAAATGCATAAAGGGACAATGAATAGTCCTTGTCAAAGTTGATCGACTGGTTGTGGGGGGGGGGTGGTTAACTGTAGCTTTCTCTCTATGCAGAATATTTGAATTGTGACAACAGTAACTGCAATAAATTAACAGCAAACTTTCTCTGATTTAATCATATAGAGTAGCAGATAAGGTGCAGAAATCGCTTTCAGGTGATAAGGTACGGGTAAATTTTAATAAAATGCAACATTACAAATTTCTACATCCTCCTCAATCAAACTAAAATTTTATTAAAAACCAATATAATAAAAACTATTCAAATTTTCAAATAAAAACAAAAATTCGAAATTACAATACAATTATTCTTTACATTCTAGGATAAAAAAAAATAAAATCGCTGTTCTCTGGAGTCTAAAAATGCAATCGTGTAATTACACCAGTGTTGAATCTACAGGAATCTTCCAGTGTCTCCAGCAAATAAGATGCTTCCAAGCGCACACATCCAATGCCTTGAAGGGCCTCCGAAAGAACAGTTCGTAGGAAGCCAACCCGGGTTGAGAACTCCGATGCAAGATGATCCACATCCATTTCACAAGGAGACTGAAACGCTCTACAGAGTTCAAACAACTCTCGCAATGTCTGATTGAGCATCTTTTGTGAGACACTATCTGATAACAAGCTTATGTCTTTTACTCGATCGAGATAAGTTGAGAAAGACGTCAACAAATTGTCCAAACTATTTCTAATGTCTGACTCCATCAAAGTATGCATGAATTCTATATGAGCAACCTCAATATGATCCGCAATGAAAGCGTGTATGCCGTTGATTACGTACAGACACCGAGATCGAAGTAAAGCTAATTTAGGATTTCCCGTTCCAAATATCCATTTTGCGTTGTCTAGAGCCCATTTCGCTTGTTTTAACTAAAATGAAAATAAATTAGCTACTAACATCGTTTCAGTAACAGAAACAGTTGTAGAAACGTCATATACCTCAAAGAGGAATTTGAACGCATTTTGGTATAGTAGCATGTTCTCCTCGGAGATCACGATATTAAGGGGCCAAGGAATGCTTATGTGAAGAGTTATATCACTTTCAGCCAAGATCAAATTGAGTCGCCCACAGAGCCAGGATCTTTCTCCACAGATAACTATAACCTGTTCTCTCAAGGCTTTATTTAAGAATGATTCCGTTCTATTGGATGAATGAGAACTAAATATCTCCTCACAAAATGCATACATCCACTCTCCGGAACGGAAAAATGCGATCTTTGACAGATTTTCAAACGCGTGTGTGAGATTAAGATAATCTGCAAAAGAAGAAACAGCTGAAAGAAATGCTCCGGATTCAGATAATGGCCCATGAAGCAGAGAAGATACAAGAAAGGAAGATATCTTCGAAGCATGATTCCTTATATCCTCACTAAAACGTTTTACTGTCTTTGCAGGAGATTCTGTAGATTTATTTGACGGAGACGTAAGAAGAGAACATTTTGGTTTGTCTAAAACAATAGATTCCAGGAAACTAATCATCTCTTTGACATCTGAATCGGCATGATATTCAAATTCACCAACTCTACAATCAGTATCCGGTTTTGAACCGCCTTCTTTGTTTGAAATCAAAGATGAAGTAAAATTATCCTCAATTGCGCTCAGCAGCTTCGGGTTTCGAAAAACCGATGAAATAGCTTTCAGCAGGATAAAAGATTTAGCACCCAAAAAGACATCTTGGATGACAGAAGATAAAACATTTGGAACACTTGATTTAATGAGCGTAACACCGGATTCCCAGAAATTTGGATCAGTGGAAAGAATGCTGTCATTATATCTGAGAAATGGGGTACTGTTTAAACTGCTTCCTTTCATCATATGGCAGAGATAAGCTTCCGTAGTTGAAACGAAAATCTCTCCAATTAGGTCAATAAGATAGGGATCAGGGAAACACTTAGAAATCGTGCGAGAGAGCTCTTCTATCCGGTTAAGAAGAAGAATTGACGTTTCTCCAGAAAATATGGTATTCAATTGAGGAGAACAGACCTGTAGAATCAAGGTAGATATAAATGAAAGTCGACGAAACCAAACCTGCCATTTAATTGAGAGCGAAATAAGAGTTAATTGAATAGGGACGGAGCTTTTAGCGACTTGTTCTAATTCCGAAACGACTCGAAATGCATCTCCTACCAGTCTCTCGCAAACTTGTGCGAGACGAATGAAGGGTAAAGGAATGGAGCTACTTGACAATAAAGCGAAATTTATAAATGCCCTAATTTGAAGAATGCTTGTGGCCGATTCTGCGATCTCCGTACAAAATGTATCAAGTGCGCCATAAGTAAGATGGGTAAGTGCTGCAGGTTTACGCGTGTAAAGACAAAGATTTTTAGTGAGAATTTCGCTGTCGGTATAGGAGACGAAGATAAAGCTTCTTTGGGCACCAAGAATAACCCAAAGACATTCTCGAACAACCTGATATTCTGTGAGTTCAACTCGAGATTCAATCTGACGTGACTCCGGAGCGAATGGAAGCCATTTCGATTTGAAGTTGCTGCACAGACCAGGACCAGTAGAAACCTTGAAGTCTCCTACCCACCAATATTCCGTCTGGAGAGTTTTAATCAGATCAGATTCAGAGAAATTTTCTAGATTTTTAGAAACATTTGGAGGAAGGAGTAAGTCATTCCAAGGACGCGGAAAAATTCTACTACTTGAATATAATGACGTCAGGAATTCCGTGTCAAAATCATCCGACATAACCTTCTTTTAAAGCAAATAAACGGATATTTAGCTAATATGCGGCAAATAATTAATTATATTAATTAATGTGAAAAATATAATAATCAAGACAAAAATAGCATCCGAAGTTCATGTTAATATCCTATAAGTTGATAAAGTCTTGTGGTAAAAGTTTAGATTTATTCATTCTAAGTACCTCAAGCATCGACTAAGCCATCTTTAACATCAAATAAAGTCATTTGGCAAACAAAGATTGGACTGGCATCGATAAATATTTTATCATGCAAATAAATAATATGTTTAATAAGCCAATCATTCACACATGGGTAAATAAAAAAGGCCCTTACTAGCGATTATCCTAAGTTGACCTCAAAGTAATTAATTGACGGGCAAATATTTTGTCAACATAAACAAATAGATACTTTGTTTGATAGGCTATTTTGAATTATTACTTTTAAATAGTAAACTATAGGTAACCAGAGATTCTTCCTTGGAAGTTAATTATTGAATTATTATTGAGACAATCATTATTCTTTACTGATTTTTAGCAAATACTAATGTATGAAAATTGTAATGTCATTAAAATTTCGCAATAATCTCTGCTCCTAAAATGGATCAAACTGTAGCCCCATCTTGCTTTCCGATCATTAATAATCCCCAGACAGAATTGTGTCATCCTCATTCTATTTCACTATCATCCACCCTTCGAATTAATAGGAGTCAGTTTATTGGGGGAACTCCTTTCATTATCACAATTACATCCACCCTCTCTCTGTAATTCAAAATCGATAGTCCTAATAAGTGTCATGAACAAATCGCGATAAAAATTAAACATTGTGTTAAGAATATATTTCAACCTTATGGATACGATGAATTCATATAAATTCATTAAATTAACTGTTATTAACTGTTTAATATAAGGATTTTTATTATAATTGCTAACATACTTCATTGGAGACAGTCGTTATAGCCATCTCAATGGAAAATTAATGGGAGCTTACTAAAAACTGATCTGGTTAGTGGTAAAGGAAGTAATTTTCGGCCATTCCTAAAGACTAATCGCTCGTTAGTGTAATGCATTCTGTTCCTTTGCACAAGTATTATTTTTAAACTATCCATTTCATGATCCATTTAATTGATTAATGTCAATTAAAAAGGGATAATTTCGTATTAAAGAGATGGGTTAGTGTTTGGGACAGAGTAAATGAAGTTTTGAAATAAGTGGAAGATAATATTTTTGCTTGATTGCCAGTTAAGTGTTGAAGTAAATGCCATGTTTGTAATTTGAAAGTGCTTTCAAAATATAAGCCGAATTTATCCTTTATGTTTCAGAAAGACTGCGTTAAACACAAACTAAACAAATACTTCTTGCTGATCGGAATTGATCTTCATGCGATTTTACTCTTTCATATAACTTCCGCTAACAACTACTATATTTATGCAATTGCAAAGATTTTATTGATCACACAATTTATTCAATTTTCATCAGATCATTATATTCACTCAAGTTTCTCATGCTGTCAATAATATTATGAAAAATAATTATAATATAGGCATAATTCGCATTAAGGCAATTGATAGCTTACTTTAAAGATACCAAGTAAATTTTTTATATCTCTAGACTTTTATATTTAATTTGAGCCAAACCGCAGGTTGCTTATTGGTTGCTCAAGCCCATAACAAATGGAAGGATACTAACTTCTGACCTGTTAGTTCCACTTGCTGATTGATGTGCCACCAGAACAGCCTTCTTCTGGTTTCGTTTTGCTTACCCTTCACTGATTTCTGCATCTGACTAAATTCTTGACTCTCAAAAAATTTTATCATCTTTCTCTTTTCCTATAACTGCTCCATTGGCAATTTTTCTGGTTATGAGGAATATGCGTTTTCTCTGTTCACAGCAAAAGCTAAACAGCTATTTCTATCTTTATCATCTTCGCGCTTTGTGAGAATGAAGCTCATATGGTTAGGAAGGGCTGTATAGCAGAATTGTTCATGTCTTTCATTTTCACTCCATGAACTTTAATTTTCAAGACACTACGCAATGGTTAGTTATAACAAGCTAATGGTTCGATAAATCTTTAAAAAAAGCTAAAAGTTTGACCAATTATACGAATATCTATGTAAGCTTCCTTATCTCTAGAATTTTAGCAAAAAAGGCCCTGAATGAGAAAGTATGCTTCAATCATTTAATATTTTGCTAATTTGTGCTTAGAAGATTCCTGTGACTAAATTAATGTGCCCGCCTTTAATGATTAGAAGGTGCGTTCTCTCCTTTATTTAATGCAAATTTTCCCCACAAGTGTAATTTGCATAATTACCAGGGGGTGGGTGGTGGGTGGTGGGGGTGTTGACGACTTCACTCCGTTAGAAATTCTTTTCACTCGAGCCCCTCCAACAATTCGTCGCCAAGGGACACAGAGCGTTCAGGATACGCTTGCTAAACGATATTTATTAAAATACTAGGAAATAAGAAACCATGCATTTCAAAAATGAAAAAAAAGGTTAACTCTAATTATTTTTATTATTTAAGTTAGAAAACAAAGGTTTGTCTTCTATAAACGTAACTATTTAATAATATTGTTTCTGCTCAAATAGATTTATTGATTGAGAGGGGTCTTCTCATAATTTCCCAAACATTGTTTTACCTGTCTGCCGAGGTATATGCAGAGTGGTTGAGATGAAAGAGGTCTCGTTTGAATATATATAAAGATGACTTAATATTATATTTGCATGTAAAAGTAACAATCAAGATGCATTACGTGACCCTAAGCGAACGCCCAATATCGCTTCCAGTATGACGCAGGGCACGAGACCTCTTCCACCTTGACAAATACTATCGACAACCACTTGCCTTCGCGCAATAGACTGGCTTGGTCAAGAACATCAATCCCACATACAAACGTGAAATGCGGACTCGCATAATTACGAGTTTTTTCATGGTCAAGGAAATGCAGGAAAAATATTCCTTGATTAAGTTTTGGAGTGGGTCAAATGGAGACTGTGAATAATTGGATTTGTGGGCTGTTAAATTGAATCGATTTGTCACTTAAGAGGATCATCAGGAGCAGGGGGAATTCACGAGCCCCTAAAGACAAAAGCGACAGTGGTAAGATAATAAGTGAATGGACACTGATGCTGAAGTATTTTAATTTCTCAGTTCTGAGCGTTTCAAGTTTTTGAAGAGAGGTTGAATTCGATGAGTTCGGATTTTTAATTAGAAAGACGATAATCTGTAGGGAAAATATATAGAGTTGTAGTGTAGTGTCCCAAACCATAACATTAATGTCCATCAGTATGACAATTAATTCCTTATGGTACCCTTTGCCCACATATCTCTTTGATACATCCTGCCATCTTCTGACGAAATTCTTGCAGCTTACTAGTATCAGTCTTGAAACCTAGTGTATGGTGGCCAAGTGTTTGAGAAAAATCAAGACAATGCGTCTTATACTTAACCACACGAATATTAGAATTCGATAGATGCGTTTTTGCATTTATTTTCTGTGTTTTAAGGTTTTATTTGAATTGTTCATTTTTGACGAGCCCACCCAAATCACTTCATGACATTGTTTAGTTGAAAGTAAATTGTCTCCATTTTCATTGGGAAAGTGAACTAACTGTCTGCCGCCCAAACAACCAGTCGCTATAGGCTACAAGCTCTCGGTTTGTGAGTAGAGAGGCATTTTGGGCGGGTCTTTCAAAAATATTATTATTCTCGGTATTTATATGAGAATTGGCCAAATTGTTGAAAGTTTGTAATTGTAGGAAAAAAATAAGATTTCGGCGCAGATGAAAGAGGAGATGCATATAAAACTAAATAATAATTTGATTAATCATACCGTTCCCGCGTTTTTTATTTCTTTTTGATAATTTTTACATTTACCATCTGAATTCTTGGTTCTTCGTTGAGAAGGACAGGTTAGGCGTCTAAATTACAGAAAAATTAAACTTGCTATTTACAATACTGAGATGATCTAATTTAGGATAATTTAAAATGATTATCCTCGCCTTCCGCAAGAATTAATCGGTGTTAGGCGACTTGTATCATTAACCATCCCTCTAATTCTGCTGTGTAAGTTGAATACTGTATCACCATCATATTTATTCAACTTTATATCAACTTTAAAACAAGGCTAAACAAGCAATGAAGATACGAAACTCATGGAAAGTAAAAATCGACGTGGTTTTGGAAGTTTTCACTCCATAGTGGCACACTTAGCAACAGTGCAACTAAAACTAAACTAGACAATCGCATACCAGAGTGTCATACATGAAGTTGTGTATCGTTTCGGTAATTTAATTCGGTAAAGATTGAAACTGAAATGGCGAAAGGAGGGGGGAGGGGTTTTGGATTGAGAGATCTTGAGTAAAGGGAAGCTATATATATATATATATATATATATATATATGTACATCATAATTCATGTTCAGTACTCCTGTCGCCTTTTAGTTTACTTGGTCTAATGAAAGTGATTAGACGGTCTGTGAATAGTGTCAAATTGCAAATTATACCTTCAAGTCTCTCCTGTGGGTTTCACTACCAAATTGGTTACTGGAAAAAGGCGTATTTGGTCAGAAATGCGATTAACTGAGCAACCTTAGATACAAATGCATAACTGATTAAATTAAATTTGTACTTGAGAAATCGTCTAATCAAACTCTGTTATACCTTGTTTTTAATGGATAATCAATGAGTTTAGGGGATTCGACCATAGTGTGTGGTCAGTAACTGGAAGACTTTTCAAGAGTTTAAGCTCACTCAAACTTTCAACAAATGAAATGGCTTAAATCGTCCATTCAAACCAAACTTTGAAAATCCCGTTTATTTTAGGCAGGGAAGACTCACAATGAAAATCCGGAGAGAGAAAAACTATTCAGATTTTAACATGACATCTGGAAACCATTTATTGGCAGAACAGCTGGAAGCCATTGGCTTTAAAGAAAAACCGATTTGTGAACAAACAGACAAGACACAGTTAGTAGGACTAATTTATGCACTTGACTGCAATGAATCA